ATCCGCAGACGAGTCTCTTCGTGGATAAGCTCAGCAAGAGCCTCATAAATAGTACCAACTTGGCGATGTAACAGAGAGGCCCGAATTGGCTCAAAATCTGGACGAAATTTCATGACTAACTGCATGAGCCGGGAACGTAAACGTTCCTTCAATATTTCAGCCGCCGCTGCAGTCGAGATAAGAGTGGCTGCAAGAAGATCATATTCAGTCCAAAGAGTAGAGATAGCCTGATAATAATTATGAACATTCATATCGCCTTGTTTAAAGGCGGCAATCTGAGTCTCAAGCTCAAACTGGCAAGCAGAGTCATTGTGAGTGTAGTGGAGCATATATGCTTCCACATATCACTATAGGTGTCAATCGGGCGGGTTCGGTTCGGATTTAGTTGGATTGCGGGTTAATCGGGTTGCGGTTCAAGCGGGTTGCGGGTCAAGTTGGTTTGGGTTAATCGGGTTGCGGGTTGATTGGGTTGCGGGTCGATCGGGTTACGAGAAAATCGGGTTCGGGTTGATCGGGTTGCGGATCAGTCGGGTTACGGGTTGATCGGGTTGCGGATCAATCGGGTTCGGGTTGATCGGATTGCGGGTTACAACAGGTCGGGTTGCGGGTTGTTCGATCCAAACTATCGATTTTTTTTTATAATTAGTTATTACACTAATTTAAAACAAACTCACGGATCACCATTTTGCAATGAAAAAAATATGAAGGTCAATTATTAAACAAATTAGTGGCTAGATTTTGCTTGAATATATTATAAATAAGTTGAATGTTGCCAGTTTGTTGGTATGTTGCAGGGATTATTAAGAATTTTGGCCAGAGTTTTATTGTTAATATTATATATATATATATATATATATATATATATTTTGTTATAGAAAGAGGCTGGGACGGAGGGAATTTTGGCCAAAGTATAGATGGGGTTTTAAAACTTTTTTCGCGTTTGGGAGGGGAAGTTTGGACCAAAATTTGGGCGGGGTTTAAAAGCTCTTTTGCCGTTTGGGGAGGGAATTTTGGAGTAGATATTTGGGGTTTAAAAATTTATTGTTTCAATTTTATTCGAAAATGTTCCCTCAATTATTTGGTGAACATTTTGTTATTCCTTTCTTTGATATTTATTATTATAAATGATAAATTTTATACTGATTAATTAGTTTGTGATTGGATTCGTTGATCGAGATGTCATTTGAATATGATCTATTTACGATGTACATTCAGAAGTTTTCAAAATATTTTAAATTCATACTTTTACCCTATAGCTAAATTAATTTTTAAAATCAAATTAAATAATAAAATATAAAAACTAAAATAACTATCGTAAAGCATAACCATGAAGAAATCCTAAACCCATATCCTATAACACCATCAACCATACATTACCCTAAACCACAACATTAAGTCATTAACCCTAAAACTAACCTCAACCCTTAACCATAACCCAAACACTGAACTCAAAATCATGACCCTATACTCTAACCATAAACAATGAACTATAGTTATAAGTTATGAAATTGTTAGAATAAACTATAATGTATGTTATGTGAAGAATGTAAGTTAAGTCAATTTTATATTCGGTTATTGAGAAGAACATACGTCCTAATCCTCCTAACTCTAAACCACGAGTCCACGACCGTATACCCTCTACACTAACCTTAAACCATGACCTATAGTTATATGTTATGAAATTGTTAGTATAAACTATAATGTATGCTATGTGAAGAATGTAAGTTAAGTCAATTTTATATTTGGTTATTGAGAAGAACATATGTCATAATCCTCCTAACTCTAAACCACGAGTCCACAATCGTATATTCACTAGTTTGTTGTTCGATCCGTCGGTCGGAATGTCATTTGAATATGATATATTTAAGATGTACATTCACAAGTTAAAAATCAAATTAATTACTAAAATATAAAAACCAAAATTCTATCATAAAGCATAACCATGAAGAAACCCTAAACCCTAACCCTATAACACCATTCTAAATATGAAACCTAAAACTAACCTTAACCATCAACCATGCATTATCTTAATTCACAACATTAAGTAATTAATCCTAAAACTAACCTCAACCCTTAACTATAAGTCCATAACCCAAACATGCAAACATTGAACTCTAAACCATGACCCTATACAACTATACCCTATACTATAGTTATATGTTATGAAATTGTTCGTATAAGCTATAACGTATGTTATGTGAAGAATGTAAGTTGAGCCAATTTTATATTCGGTTATTGAGAAGAACATACCTCCTATGACTCAAAACTCTAAACCACGAGTTCACTACCGTATACCCTATACACTAACCTTAAACCATGAACTATAGTTATGTATTATGAAATTGTTGGTATAAAGTATAAAGTATAACGTATGATATGTGAAGAATGTTAGTTAAGTAAATTTTGTATTCAGTTATTGAGAAGAACATACGTCATAATCCTCCAAACTCTAAACCACGAGTCCACTACCGTATACCCTATACATCATTGTTAGTAAATACTTCGTTTAATAACACGTTAAATATCCGTATTTAATGAAATAAATTATTAACTTTACTATTTTTACATATTGATTTATTTATAAAAGTAATTAGTTTTATATATTTATGACTATTAACGTACTATTAAACGTAACATTACCTAAGAGACGAAGTATAATACCGGTTAGTATTTTATGCGTAACTTTCCCGTACCGTATTTTACTAACTATGCTATACATTAAGTGAAGTTACCGTATTTTACAATCTAGTTCCGTATTTTACTAACTATGCTATACATTAAGTGAAGTTACCGTATTATACAATCTAACTTTTTATTAACAAAAACATGTTAAAAAAATATGCCTCTGCTAGGCTTTGAACCGTGTACCTTGAATGGGAAAGACCACCACATAAGCCAGCTAGTCCACTTAATTAATTTGTTACAATTTGAATTTGTTGTTTACGCTTGAACTGAGAGGCAGAGAGACCAAAACATGTTGTAATTATTAGCACTGGTATATGATTGGCTTAATTAAGTCAATCATATGTATGCGTTATCTATATATATTATTTATATACATCAATCAAATGTAAAAAATGTTGATAACCCTCCTAGGATTTCTACTTATCTACCTTGTCATTTGTCAACACAAAGTAAACCTTTGTTCTTGGTGGGAAAAATGAAAAAAATAATAGGGCAAGTCACGTAAACTTTATATATATATTATCTACATATAATATTCATGCACAAAAATATATTATGTAGTATTATTCGTGCCAATCGGGCGGGTTCGGGTTAGTCGGGTTACGGGTCAAGCGGGTTGCGGGTCAAGCGGGTTGCGGGTCGGGCGGGTTGCGGGTCTTTGACTTTTAGTCCAATCGGGTTGCGGGCGGGTCGCGGATCGAGTTGGTTGGGCGGGTTACTCGGGTCAGGTAATGTTTTGACACCTATACATATCACTAGCATCAGTGAAACGGCAAAGGCTAAGACCGATGGTAGTATCCACTGAGGACACGAGCCAGGTCACTACCTGGGCATTCCCGGTAGCCCAGTCGGCAACATCCTTCTCTACAAAACCAACTGAAAATCTTGGGCAGCGAAAAACAAATTGTGCGGACCAAAAATCCTGATGTGATGCTGGCGAATAGATGGGCGGAAACCCTAGGCAGCAAGAACAAGTGGTAATCAGACAATTACATAACGAAATACGATTAAGAAATCTTAGATCGCAGGCTCTGATACCATGTCAAACAATCTAAACATAAATGAAAAGCACCGAGTTTTTTAACGTGGTATCGTCGACATGACACTAGTCCACGGAGAGGATCTCCCTCTCAGGTTTTAGTATTATGTTTTTGTTCCATTTCAACGATGTTGCACAAGACAATATATAGGTTTGCCTACAAATCCTAACTACACAACCTGCAGGACAATTACACATTGGTACTCGATCTATCACAAACTAACACGATGGTAGTCCGACAATTGACCGCGTCGGTGAAAAAGATACGAGCGTTTTCTTGGCATTAGATTGCAGGGGAAAAAATTCCCAATCATTTCCCTCCCTAGAAACTCCTTCACTGCTCAAAACATGCAACGAATTGAGTCGGGAGCAGAGTGCTTTCACGCCGCCGTTTGGGTTCTTAAAAACTCCAAATCCGTCATGAAGAGATCTTTGAAACCCATTTTGTAATCGTAACGTTTGGGTGCGATGGAGGGCAAGACCTCAAGTTTCAAACAAAATTGAAGATCTGAAAAACTATTGGAGACACCTAGGTGGAACTTGCAGACGGAGGATGTTGAAGGCGCCAAAGAAAGCATCCAATATGTCTTCTTCATCGCCTCCTGTAGTTGGGGTGTTATTCGCATAGAATTCATTCTTCCCCTTTCTCTTTTCTCAAACAGATCATCAGCTTGTGGAATTCATGGGAGAGTAAACGAGTTCTCGTGGCGGCGATTTGTACCATTTTCTTCATCCATCCCATCCTATGTCTAAAGTGGTGTGGAATTCGTGTACAAGCGTGAATAGGATGGTACTCTACTGTGGCCTGTGGGGAGGTTAGCGGTAGGACTAGCGGTGGCCACGATGACTTATGTCATGACAAAGATGGTGGTTGGGAGGAGACTAAGGAGTCGAGGAAGTAGAGGAGAATAAACTCTGTTCGAGCGAAAAAATTTCTTTTTGGTGCATAACATAATATATTTTTCAATTATTAGAAAAATAATTCCGATTGAATTGAGATGATAATTTAAAAAATGCCACATGTGTATGATGTGTGGCTGACATGTGCTATAAAAGTCAAATAAGGGTTGACTATCGTTTGGTTGACGGTTAAGTCTAATGGTCAACAAAACGAAGGAGAACATTATTGACATGAAGCTCTAAACGTTGGGACATAACTGACGAGTGATAAACTTAGGCCTTTTTTGGGCCTTTATTTTATTTATTTTATTATGTCTTGAAAAAGTATGAATTATTAATAAGATATATTTCATTTTCCTGAGTGTTTCCCGTGCCGGTGCTCCGACCTCCAACTCCAAGACGGCACTCCTCCCCTCAGGGCTCAGACCACTCGCTCGCTACAATGAGAGAGAGACAGCCAAAACCAACCGCCTCTCTCTCGTTAACTTCTTCAACCCTCCCTCCCTGTCCAATTCCTACCTGTTTTCCCTCCAAAACCCTAAATAGTTAACTGGACTGACAATTCTAGAAATGCCGCTATCGCTGTCTTCCGTCGAGCTTCCTCCCTCTCGCACGGTGGATCGGCGGATCTGGCAAGCCTGTGCTGGTTCCTCTGTTCAATTCCCCTCTCTCAATTCCAGGGTCTACTATTTCCCCCAGGGCCACCTCGAGCAGTCTTCTTCTTCTTCTTCTTCTTCTTCGCCTTCGCCTTCGCCTTCTTTCCTCTCCTCTTTAGTCCTCTCCCGTCCTATGATCCTTTGCCGCCTTTCCTCTGTTCAATTCCTCGCCGATCCTGTCACCGACGAGGTTTACGCCAAGCTCCACCTCCTCCCTCTCGACCCGTCTTCTTATCCCCTCAATGCGCCTTTGCCTCTCTTTCAACCTTCCCAGGAAGATAGGATTATGGCCTACGCCAAGGTTCTAACCGCTTCCGATGCTAATAACGGCGGAGGATTCTCTGTCCCGAGGTTCTGTGCTGACTCCATATTCCCACCCTTGAACTACGAAGCCGACCCTCCCGTCCAAACCCTAACCGTCACTGACGTCCACGGGACACGCTGGGACTTCCGCCACATCTACCGTGGGACTCCCCGTCGCCACTTGCTCACCACTGGATGGAGCAAGTTTGTCAACAACAAGAAGTTGATCGCTGGCGACTCTGTTATATTCATGAGGACCTCCCAAGGGGCGATGTACATCGGAGTGCGCAGGTCGGCGAGGTTTAGCAATGCTGCCAATTTCGCCAGGTGGCGGGAGCATTTTGGCACCGGAGAGGCAAAAGTCAAGCTTAAGGAGAACGGTTGCTCCATGACCAGTGCCAGAGGGATGCTGACTCCTGAAGCCGTTGCCTCTGCAACGGAGATGGCTGCCCGGGGTTTACCGTTTGAAGTGGTTTATTACCCCAGAGCATGGTCGTTTTCCGATTTCGTGGTCAATGCTGATGTCGTCGAGGCTGCACTCAGTATGTTTTGGTCTGCCGGGGCCAGAGTTAAGATGGCTGTCGAATCAGAAGATCTGTCAAGGACTACATGGTTTCAAGGCACGGTTGCTTCAGCTGTGGTTCCAGGTTGCGGGCCATGGCAAGGATCTCCTTGGCGAATGCTTCAGGTGTGGATATGTATATTGATACTTGACTAATTTTCAGCATCTTGTAGTCTGATTGTGGAGATTCTGTTGTCGTTTTGAGTGTCATCTGAATAATTCGTTACTCGAGGGTAGTATTTGGGCATTTTGTAGTCAGCATGTCAAATTCTGCTGCTAAGGGAAGTAAGAGTCTACAGTTTCTTTTTAATTGTTTGACATGGTTAGTTGGTAACTTCTTGAGTGAATATAACATTACTCCAGCGGATACTCTGAAGTCCCAATATATAGCCTGATCTACCTAGCATCCTCGGTTGGTGCCCTAAGAATGTTTATGTAAGTTTACTGGTGTAGTGCTCTATTTATCAACATCGTTCCTGGTCAAGTGAAGAGTATGAGAAGATGGCTAGCCTAGGTGCTGATTGTTGAATCAGCAGTCAGACTGTGAATGCAGATTCGACGATGGTCATTCTGTGTCAGGCTTTGCCTTCTTTTGGTGGTAACTAAGCCGTGCATAAAGATCAATGTTGGTCTTGGTGACATATAGTCTGCTGCTGATAATCCCTTTTGCACCCAGTGTGGGGTGTTCCATTCTGCCGGAAAAGATATGGGTGTTGGGAGCTGGTGATAGTACGTGAAATTAATCTTAAAACTACATTTTGTTTCCTAAAGACAGTGAGCACTGATGCAGTAAAGAAACCTAAACCTTATCCTAGAAGAAAAAGAGAATGGGAGCTCCATAGTGTCATGATGCCGAAAGACTGCGGATTTACTGTGTTATAATTATGTGAAACTAATTACTGTTGTGGGGTACCTTGTTTGTTGTCGTGTGTTTAATGTGATACCAAGTTGAGCTTTATGATTGTGGCCATGGAAACCATGAGGTGGAGCTTGCAAACTCTCACAGACGAATCTCTTTTTTTATTTTCATTATTTTTTGTGGCAGCAGCCAATTCTTCATGTTTGTGATTGTCCGTATACTTTTGTCTTACAGTAGTTGTTTATATTATTGTTGAACATTATGTTGGGAGGGGAATTGGATCAGGTAGAGAATTGTAAGCTTTGAGTTGGTTATGTTTAATGCGTTGGTACCAGCCTACCAGGGTCACTCTGCAGCTAGAGTTGTGTGCTCAAAATAAAAGTTATCTGGAATATTCTGTAATTCATACTCGTTCTTGTATGTCTTTGGCTTTCTTTTGTTTATTTCTTATGCCTTCATGTGAGACACCTTAATCTATCTGCATTGCGAGAAGGCCGACTTCTTTATTCCAGTATTCAATTGAGAAACTATACTGAATGAGGGTCTGCTCGCTCTAGTTAGTCCTGTTTTCTTCGAGTGAAATGCTTCTGGAAGTGTTTGAGTTGTTTATGTTCGGTGCTCTTTATGTGTTAAAAGAGTTCATTCTTTTCTGCATGCAATCTGCTGTCTTTTTGTCCTACTCACAAGCTTCTGTAATACAGATTAAGTGGGATGAACCTGAAGTTCTACAGAGTGCCCAGAGAATCAGCCCTTGGCAAGTCGCATTTGTTCCAACAAATTCATCTTTCCAAGCTGGGATTCCCACACCAAAGAAATTTAGATATCCAGACAAGTCTGAGTTGTTGATAGATGATGGAGAGAGAGATCTCCGCTTTCCTATGTCAGGACTAGCTAATCCAACTGTTGGTCCACCGTTGTTGAATTTCAACAATTTTCCTGCTGGCATGCAGGGAGCCAGGCAATATAATACTTTTCCCCCCTTTGGTTTATCCAACTTTGTGAGTGAGAATAGTGGTCTTCAGATATCTGCTGCTGCTACTACTTCTTTCACAAACGTCATGGTGCCTAAGTTGGGAAGCGTGTCAACTGAGCTGAACATTGGTAGCTCACAATCCGATAACTTATCACCAGACAGACAGAGTAGCATGCAGTCTTTTGGCACTGAAATTGTGGGGAATCAAGGCTGCACTTCTGCAAATTGTGGCACTAGTAGCTCGTTTCAGCTATTTGGTAAAATCATCCATTTCAATCATCCAGTTGAAAGAAGTTCTGATGACGTAAGCTGCACAGAAGATCAAAATGCTGAAGACTGCGACAAAGATAATGAGAGTGTTAACCATCTGCTCGACCTATCTCTGGCTTCTTCTTACACTGAATTTCTCAACCAGATAGATGTCCAGTGCCAAAGAAGTGGAGCTGTTGACCCTTATGAACGAGTCATTATGTGATTGATGTCAAGCTGCCTTATGGTTATGAGCAGCTGTACAGGTGAAGTTTGTGTCCGACTCTGGTTGTCTTATATCACAATGTTACGCACATTCTTGGGGAACAAAACTGGTTAATTGGAGCAGCAGAACCTCCTTTAGGGGATATCTAAGCTATTGTTCATGTTTTGGTGATTTACACTGTTCTTTTGTCCCCTGCTTCACCAAAATATGAGGCACACTTGCAGGCCATAACGAGGCATTTGAGCTTTTGTTATTTTCTTTTTAGTATAGTGTAGATTATCCGGTTACTTCTTCCATGTTTCTGAATGCATACGTTGGAGTACTGCTGGTTGGTTCTATTAATTGTCTGGCTAATACCACCATTCTTGTGAACTCGGTATGGCAGGTAAGATCGATTGGGCGGGCAGGCAGGCAGGGAGTTGACTTCTTCTTGCTGGACTTCCGTGGCAGTAGTAACTGGCGTTCGAACTAGGGACTCCATGCTTTCCTTTGTTTTTCTGTTTTTCACCCTAATTGATCCACTAGTTGTATGGAATACGCTTCACATACATTGTTTACAACACAATCGGATACTGCTGGGTATGTTGTGTTTGTTTGTTCAGACAGTTGTGTTATGTTGATAAGTTAGTTGATGTGTGTTCTTTGTACAGGGGTTGCCTCCCCTTCCATTTATGGGTCTTTTTTCTCATAGTTCAAACGTGAAAGGACGAGGACGAGATATTAAACTAGGGATGGGAAACAGTGCAGTTTGGAATTGACAAGATTTTATATATATATATATATATATATATATATATATATATATATATATATATATATATATATATATATATGATCCGCAGTTCAGATCGAGAGACTATACAAAGATTATGAACCAAACCATATACTATACGGTTCAGATCATATATTTTAAGTTCAAATTGGATCATGTTTGCACGGTGCAGTTCGATACGGTCTTAACCGAGCAGATGACGTTCAACTAAATTTCACTATTCTTCGTCCCTCCAATTCTCACCAGTGTCCATAAAAATAAGAAGTTCAATTTCCTTTTTCTTAAGAAAAGATTTCAACTTCTAATATCCTAGAAACAAATATTTAATAACCATAATTAACTTGCGAAGAAATATGAGGGGAGAAGTGAAATTTTTCGATACCTTACTTTTACTCCAGTGTCCACTACTCTATCCAATATTTATTTAAAATAAAAAACACAACAAATAAGTTTGTCTCCCTATTGTTGCTTCTCTCACTAACCTAGGTGGTGCAGAAGGTTCTCGCACTCAATCCCCACCGTGACGACATCAAGAGCATTTTGAATCAGTGGGTTGTCGTTTCGCATGCCAGAATTTCTCTTATCTCACTCAGGTAAATAAATTTGTTCTACATTTCTATATTATCGACTCTAGAGTCTAGACATGGCTAGTGGAGTCATTTATCCATCTTTTCTTGTTTGCGTGTGGTTCTTTCATTAAAAGATAACGCGAAAGGGTTCGCTTGAGCAATCTGTTGATTTTCAGTTGGATGAAGAATGAATAGATGTGCTTGTACTGAAATCTATAATAAGTAGATCAAATTGTTTGCTTGCCATGGTCAGATTGATGAGACTCGATCTGTTCTTCCAAATACATAAATGGAGGTTAAGTATTATTATTTTGATTTGGATAAGTGGATATTAGGTCACGGTCTACCACGATTAACCACGATTTACCATAGTCCAGACCACTTTAGGTCACATACTAAAGGAGTAGACCGCAAGCCAAACCCGATCATAAATTTGGTCTCACAATTCGAACCAAACCATGCGGTCTGATCTCAACCGCGGTTTCTCATACAATTTGTTGTGGATTCCCAATCCTTTATTACACCCATACCCTCCTATAGTAGGGGCGCAACACAATCATGTAGCTCAACTCTACTCTTCTTCTAGTCCGGCACATTGACGGTGAAGATGGATTTGGATTGTTTGTGCCTATGAAGTACATTTTCGTAAGGTTCCTTGGACTAGGTTTTGCCATATGCCAGTCTAACGATGGTTTTTAAATAGTAATCATCTATTCATTATCATAACCAAAATTTCATGAGTATCTAATATTGTATTCCAAAATTAACTTATAACACAAGGATCATACTCGGATAATAATATATTAAGTATTTTACATTGTTAAAAGAACTGAAACGGATCAACGGTCGTACCAATAGAATCGTCAAATCAGTTACGATAGCGGTTTGGTTCATTACTTGGACGGTTATTGATGGACCAAACGGTTTTCACGGTTCAACATAAAATTAGATGAATCACCAACACTAAAGGGAGATTTCTAAATACTAAAGGGAAGAAGAAGGGGACCTTGGTTTTGAGTTAGGTTTTCTTCCTAAACACTAAAGGGAGATTTCTAGAGGGAGAGAGTGATCTAGAGTGGTCTTGGGGCTAAATTGGAGGCTTGGATTGAGCTCAGAGCAAGGAAATCAAGCCTAGAAGATGAAGAATGACAAGCTTTGTATTGTAATATCTCTCCTCTCTATGAGTTCACACTCATTCACTTAGGTTAGGTTGATGAACCCCAGGTCTAGATGTTGGTTTGATTGTTGATGTATGTGACAAAACCTATAATTGTGTGTCTTTATTATTTTAAGAATCGAGTACTTATGATGCAAATGTTGGATCTTGATCACATCCCTCAAATTTGGGATTTTTTACTTAGGAGGGAGAATATTCCCCTAGGTTGAATAAAACACTACCAATTCATCACTACGGGTATTTGAACGAGTGTGTTAGGATCCATTGTGTCCTATTGGGTTTTACCCAGTCGTGGGAGCTGGATTCGGTTGCCTCAATTGCCCACATTGTACGATACGCCTCTATTTTTTAGCAGGGTTGGATGCACTAGAATAGGGAGTCAATCTAGTCTAGAATTCTCTATGGTAGAGGTATCGAGTCAATCAATCTAGTGTAGTACTCAACATTAGTCAAGTTGAGGAGCTAGGGGGATTCATGTCTAAGGGAGCTCCAACCCTTGTAATTAGCTAGAGTAGAGGTTAGGTTAGTGTAGTTAGCTTAGTTTGTTAATCACTATTCGCTAGATAACATACTTAAGTCGAAGTAACGGTACATCTAGAGACCCGTGGTTCGATAGTATTATTACTTTGCTTACCCTATGCTAAATCTGATCGCTAGTTATGATTTGCCTTTAATTGAGAATGTGTAATTAGTTTGAGTCACCTGCCCTGACTTGTTTAGGGCGGGTATTATCTGGCCTGCAGATGCGTGGGGCATGGCACGTGTCGTGCATTGCTTTAAACCTGCCATGTCTCGTTCTTGTCATGTTATATTATAATTTGCATCAATATCCACATGTATTTCTTTTATTTTTGACATTTCTAAAATTATATTTTTATCCTAAAGAAAATTTAAGACTCTATCTTCCATCTATTTAGAGTCAATTATTCCTTCCACTATATTTCTCATTCATTTATGAAATGTTTTCTCTGTGTTCTTGTAAAAAAATTATATCAACTTTCTCCACGCTTAATACAAGACGGTCTGGCAGATATGTATATTGAAATACGGCCTCATCGCCACCTAAAAAATAAATATTTTTTTTTAAATACATTAATAAATGTTTTTGCACGAGCGAGAGAAAGAAAATGGTCAGGACCGGAGCCATATCTCCCGGGGCCCACCAAGCACAACTGCCGCCGCCCGGGCAGCCTGTTCCGCAACAACAAGTCCACCCGCCGTCGACTTCAAAGCTTAGCTAAAGCTTCCAACATTTGACCCACTCCCAATCAGCTGTCTGACTGATCTTCGTTTTCCTTTCTTCCCCGCCCCACAACCCCCTTGCTGGCTTCGCCTGCAACTGCAACAATGGGTTCCAAGCCGTGGTTATACCCGGCTCCTGCCTATCGTTCCCTGGAAACCTACTGGGACACCGACGACGACGCCCCTGGTCCCCGATGTGGCCATACCTTGACCGCCGTCGCAGCTACCAAGACTCATGGCCCTCGCCTCATCCTTTTCGGGGGTGCTACCGCCATTGAAGGCGGCGCCTCCTCCTCCGCACCTGGCATCAGTTACCCTACATTTCCTCCTCTCCTCTCCTGTCCTGTCCTCTCCTCTTGCTGCTTCCTGAGCTTTGCTTCGCTTTGCAGGATTGGCTGGAGTAACCAATTCAATTCACTCATACGACGTTCTCACTAGAAAATGGATTAGGTATCCCTCTGATCTTGTTAGTTCTTGATTTCTTTGAATTCGATCCAATTCTAACCTATTTGTTTTATCATTAACTAATCAGACTACGACCAGCTGGGGATCCACCTTCTCCCAGAGCCGCACACGCTGCTGCGGCTGTTGGTACTATGGTTGTCTTTCAGGTGATTGATTTGCATGGTTTTTGCAACCACAACTGCATTTGCTTGCTGGCTACCAAGCTTTTCGATATATTGCTATTCATCTCCCCCAATTGTTGTCTTCCTTAGGGTGGCATCGGTCCTGCTGGGCATTCCACTGATGATCTCTATGTGCTTGACTTGACCAATGACAAGTATAAATGGCATCGGTATGTCATTCTTTCTTCTCTGCAAGATTGTTTTATCTGCAGGCTTTCCAGAGTCATGGACTGATTTGGGCATTCACAAAATTGTAGAGTTGTTGTACAAGGGCAGGGTCCGGGACCTCGATATGGCCATGTAATGGATTTGGTTGGCCAAAGATACCTAGTTACCGTCAGTGGCAATGATGGTAGGACAAATTTTTTTTATTACGATTTCTGATATATCTGTGTTTCTTCATTTTAGTTGAAAGAATACACTATTTGTTTGCTGGTGTAGGCAAAGTTTACTGTGCAAGAACTTAACATTCTATTTTGAATTCCCTTGTTAACTTCATTAACAGTTTGAACTGATAACTCTGTTTCTGGGGACATCGTCTGTTTAGGGGGCATTTCCTACTGGGCACCGGGGGATAACCCGTCCCTTGATTTTCAGGAAACGATGTTTTATTGTTTTCGACCAGCTGCCTCATTTATTCCCCATGGTTTTTTCCAATGAAAATGAAATTGCAAGTGAACACATTTTTTGTTATTTGTTTCTTATTTTTCGTTGTCGCACCGAAAAACAGAAACCAAAATGGCAAGTGAACGGGGCATTAGGTTATGCAGTTTGATCTTCTAGTCTGCTAGTCCTTGCTAGAAGAGACTTCCAAGTATGAATTTATTGCTTTTACTGGATCATGAGCTAGTTGTTATCTTCTATGTTAATATGGAACTGATTAGTTGCTAAGAGTATTTGTCAGCGTGAAAATGGATATGCAGTTTCTTTTCTCGAACGAGAAGAAGGCATGTCAAGTAGACTAATATAAGAAGGGCTTGAGTGTATTAGTTACTTTTGTCTTTTCCAAAGTGGTCAGCGAGTACTGTTTTCTGTCAAAGCATGGTATGATCTCAGTCAGACTATTATGGAATAGTACATGAAAAGGTCGCATATTGGACCTCTGGTTTCCCTTTTGATTCAATGGCAGTGCGGCAGTGCCTGCTAGAGCCAAGTGAATTACGCGCTACTTCGTTTTGTATTAACACATACTTGAACTATGTATATTTTGGGTCTCCAAAGATCAAAGTCCAACATTCGACTATTATGATGATGAGTATGGTGATGG